ACTCCTATCTCCAATAAACCACCAGAAAACCGGAAGTGGCGCTGTAGCTCAAGTGGTAGAGCGCTCGCCTTGAGCTGAAGAGCTGAGGGACAGCGACCGACCAAAAAAAAAACTCATAATGCTCCAGAGGCTAAGATCTGACGGTTGAGGTTCAAAGCCAGCCCAGGCAGTAAAGTCCCTGAAAGTCTTATCTCCAGTTAACGGGCCACAGGTAGAGCTGTGGCTCATGCCTCTTCAGAACTACACAAGTTGATTGGGCAGTGTAAGGAAATTCATTCCCAGGTGAAGCCGGAGAAACCGCTAAGGTATCCCAGATTCATCCTTCACACATGGACCCAACACCTGCCACCGAGGCTGTGTCGGCCACCGGGCCTTCATTCTTGTTCCTGGCCATACAACACAATGCAAACTACTACCCCGTTCCTCTTTTTTTGTGTCGGTCCTAGGGCTTAAACTTGGGCCCTGGGCGCTGTCTCTTAATTTTGCTCAAAGCTAGCACTCTAAACTACTGAAGCCACGGCTCAAGTGGCTTGGGATGGGAGAGTGGGGGGCGGGAGGGAGTTGTTGGAGATGAGGGTGTCTCAAGGACTTTTCCTGCCTGAGTTGACCTTCCAGCCCGACGTCAACCTCCTGAGAAGCTAGGATTGCAGGCGGGAGCCACTGGTGCCTGCCTGGCCTTTCTAAACGAGTGATCAGCTATTAAATGCATCGCTCACTCACTTTTTCCTTTCTTCCTCAAGATTACTTTCGGGGGGGGGTGTGGGGTGGGGGGGCTAAATACCAAGAACTCCCGCCAGGGCTTCCCGGTCGCAGGATTTCCCAGCGCTTTGGAAAGCACGTGTCAGAGGCGGGCGCTGGGAGCCGGCTGCAGCGCAGGTCCCCACGCGCCCTGAGCATCCCGAGCCGGCTCGCAGCGGGTGGGCCTGCGGGGTGGCGGGCTCCGGTGAGGTGGGCCCGGCCCTGCCCCGCCGCCCCCTCCGTCCCGCCCCGCGCGCTCCCTCCTTCCCGCCCGGCGGGTACCTGACGGAGAAGACGCGGGCGGGACACGATGCCCCGCAGGTCGATGTAGACGGGAGAGGAGAGCCCGCTCTTCAGCACGAAGTTCCCAAACTTGAAAGCCTGCACGTCGTACAGATCGGCCACCAAGGGATCCAAAGCCGAGCCCGCGGCCGCCATCCTCGCGCGCGCTCCGCTCTGCGAATA